TAGATGACCTTTGGAGATCCCTTCCACTCCAGACATTTTATGATTCTATGAAGGATACTGTGAATTCAAAATACACCAAATATGTTTGTCCTAAGGAAAAAAGGTTTCCTTGTTGAAACTACTGTGATATACTTTCACTTTGTTACATGAAGTATCTGGTAGACTTCTAATATCTACAGTTACAGATTTTTATGTCAGACTAATGGACAAAAATATGCTGTGAGTGTTGGACATCCTGGCTGAGCAATGGTGATTTTTACAATTTTGGGAAATAAATGCACAGTCACAGTGGAAGAAGAGATTTTTATTAGTTTAAAAGTTACTGCTGAGTGCTGAAAAGCTGGAAGGATAGGATCTTCTCTAAGATCAATTTGAGTCAACTTGCTAGCATAGCAGTCTTCTATGAACTAGGTAAGGATCAAGGAGCTGGTTTAAAACAAAATTAATAGTGACTGTGCTTTCCTATGAACACACATTGAGAATAATGTACTAGCCTTCTATGTGGCAGGGAACATTATATTATTGCAAAGTTAGGAACTGAGATTCTTAGTTGAATACAGAAAACAGAGTTCTGTTCAGTTACTGCAAAAGTAACTGAAAACTTTTGCTTGAGATGGAGTATGGGCCTCTTCCAGTGCAGAATTTAGTCTGAAAATGACTTGACACTTCAGGGAACAGTAGTGACCTGTAGCTGTGAAACAGTGGAATGAAAATTGTGTATTTTCTTAATAAAACTCTTAAATTTCTGTTGCAGTGCAGTCAAATCTGCTTGCAGTGTGCAGGGTTTTTAAGCACCCTATATAGCCTCTGTGACTCTTAAGTTGGATGTATTTGGGTAGCTGTTTGCACTTTTTTGTAATCTGCATGGTCTTGGGAATGTAAGTGCAGCACACTTACAAGGCCCTACTTACAAATTCTGTGTTAGAATAATTAAGAGAGAAATTCTTGAGGCAAGTACAGTGACTACCACTTTAAGTCAAAGTGCAAAACATTTGCTATTACACTGGGAAGTTGTGCATATACAGGGGGATTGTCAGATACAGTGTCATCTAAATCATATCTCACAGGATAGCAGTCATGTAGTAGGTGAATCTCTTTTCTTTATTGGTTTACCTCTGTGTGATCGACTTGATGGGACTTGGATTGAGGTAGGGACAGAGCAAATAGCCACCTGAATGCAGCTTCTCTATCTTGAAAGTATGTTGCTCCTCAAGACCATGGATATACTCAAGGAGAACACATATATGAGCAATGAACATGAAGTTTATCCATTTGAATTCTAAACTCGAATATTTGTCCTGGAACATGTGCTTTTATTAAAGGAGAAGCAGTATTTGTTGTAATTCCATAAAATATTTTGAGTCAATGGCTCAGAAAGCCTAAGGCTTTTGCAAAAGCATGCCAGCAACAAAACCTTGAGTTGGAGCAAGGCTGATGAATAGCTAATGAAACTTACTCTTCCTGCTCCTGTCAAAACATGACTTATCTGAGTTTGATTTTTTTTTTATTTTCTTTCAAACATAGCTGTAGTAAGTTTGAAGAACTAAAATATTTTTCCTCCTTTAGGTGTGGACTTCAAGGTGAAAACTATTTCAGTTGATGGAAACAAAGCTAAACTGGCAATATGGGTATGTCTTTCCTGAGTTCTGAATGTGTTGCTTTGTTTTAGGAGTAGTCATGGCTTGTATAATATATGGTTTGTATAGAATCCTTTTCTATTTAATAGAAAAGATTTTAAGGTGTGGGAAGTTAATACTGAACCTTTCAGAAGGTGGAGGGGTCTGTGTGACAATTGGGCATCTGTGTTGTCTATGAGCTGCTGCAGCGCTGATTCTAGGTCTGGTTGGGATAGGAGCAGAGAAAAGGAGGAATAAAATGCTACTAAATCAACTTTAAAACAGAGAATGTGGCCACATCTAGATTTTTAAAATTAATTTCCAAATAGCCCTCACTAATCTGGTTCTTCCCTGTATTCATTGTTCTTGTCTGTACTTTACAGACTTTAAAAGGGGACACTTCTTAACCTAATTGTTTCAGGCAAAATTTAGTAGTGTATTAATAGGTCAAGAAATGCTATTGCATGCTCAGTCTCTGCTCAAATGTTACTTTGCCAAGCAGTTTTTAGTTTAAAAACTTGAGAGCCCTCATACAAAGTCATATATGCTTGAGGTCAGAGTTATTTGTAGCAGATGCAGCTTAAAGAGGGACAGGGGGAATTTGTAATCTTAGCCTTGGTGTTCAACCTCTAGTTAAAAGTAGGACTTCTAAATTCATGGCAGATGAAGAAAAAGTACTTCCAAGGTTTTATTAAAATACTCTCTATTCTGCAAACCAGCCTTCATACTTAAGAGACTTGAAAGACCTTTTGGATATTGAGACCTAGTTGTGACTTCTTGCAGCAGTAAAACCTTGTTTCTCATATAAACAAGGTGCCAACCTTTACTTCCTTTGGAAGCAGTAGTGGTATGTGAAATATACATATATTGCAATACTTCCGTTGCTTTGAGGGTGTTTCATGTCTTGACTAACAAACAGGACATATGCCTTAGTGTGACAGTAGTAATAGTCACTAAAATAAATGGGTTTGTCAAGGAAAATGGCTGCAACAACCTGACAGACAAGTAGACACATAGGAAGAAAAACCAGACTGATAGCAGAATATTGAGTAATCATGGGATGGGAGATATTACATAGCACTAACTTAGGGTTTACCTTCTTTCATATTGTTGAATATGAAGAAATGATTCCAAAATGAACTAAAAAAGTGAAGCTTGTAAAGCTGTATCATGACACAAAACCGGTTTGAGATGTGTGGGATTGACTGAAGGACTTGTAGAATGTTCAAAGTCCAGTTCAGCTATTTAGGTTCTGTGACATGGAACCATTTTGAATCCACAGTGTTTCATGTGTCACTTCTAACCTGGGGTAGCTTGGATGAATTTATTTAAATCTTTTGTGCATAAAGTCTGCAAGGAGTGTGCACTACTTAATATTCATTAAGAAGTCAGCATTCTAATTGTTTGAGTTTTGGCAGAGCAGAAAAACCTCTGACTTCTGCTCTGTCATAGCATGTTAAGTGCTTTTACCCTGGCACTGAGTCGTTTAATTGGACCAAGGTTATTGAAGTGAGGGAGCTAGTTTTGTTCAATGAGGTTTTGATGACTACAAAATCTTAGTACTGCAGCTATGCTTCTTTCTTGTTGTTTGCTGCTGCAATAGCTGCAGAACAAATGCTCCTGCAGAACTGGCTATCGCATTGCTGGGTAGACCAGTTATTTACTGCACATAAGTTTAAGGGTGGTTCCCAGCGCAGACTACATAAAACCTCGAAGTTAATGGGTGGTAAAAGGGCAGGGGAAGGTGTAAACTCAGTTAATCTGGTAGCTGACTATATATTGACTGATTTTGTACATTCATTAGAAGCAGAATACATGAGAGCTCAATTAGGTTCTGAAGGAATTCTGAATAATGGAACTTTCTGAATGTCTTTTTAGGATACTGCAGGTCAGGAGCGGTTCAGAACGTTAACGCCCAGTTACTATAGAGGTGCACAAGGAGTTATCCTAGGTAAGTATAGCTTTCCATGCTATTTTGAACAAGTGTGTGGTTTTCTCAGGCATTGGAGTTATGGGCTCATAACTTTTCTGTAATCTCTAATTCATATGAAAAATCATTGTATCTGTGTTGAACAACTCACATTAAAGGATCTTGAGAAAGAGGTCAGACATCAAATTCATGTAGTCACCAGCCTGAGAAGCCTTGCATGAGAAGAAGCTACTGCTCTTCAAAGGGATATCTTGGAACTCTGCCTGTACTGCCAGGAATTTCCCTTTCATTTATTACTGCTGATTTTAGCCTGTGCTTATTAAGGCCAAAGTGAAAAATAGTCTGTTCTTCTCAGTGTATTCTTTCTGTATCAGTATGTATATAACTTCCTCTTTTTCTTCTCCCTTGTCCCTAATGAAAGTAATGTAAACACTGTGGAGTCTGGCTGGGATTTTTTGCTATTTGTCTCCATACTGATGTGATGTTAAATAGTCAGAATCACTTAGAAAAGACTAGCTGGGAGAGTAAAAAGCATCAATCTGTGTGGGAGAAACCTGGGCCAAACCCCATAATTGCAACTTCATAGTGAAATCTTTCACTTTTCTTTTGTATATGGAAACCTGTTAACTAGGCACTGAGCTCTGAAGTTCTGCTTTTCCACTGCCAAAAGTGAGGAGCTAACTAAAGTAAGAGCTGGGAAGTAAGTTTGAATTTTTTGAAGTTGCATCTGACTTGAAAGGTTCTTGTTAAGTTACTGTGTCCATTAAGATTGTTTGGCTTGGAATAAACCCTGTCATGAGACTTCCCAGTAGGTATTGTTTTGTATGTACTGTTTCTCAAGTCTCAATTGCACTGTCTTCCTGGTATGGGAAGATGCTTTCGTGGCATGTCTTGTCAAGTAACTTATTTGCTGGCACTGAACCTGCCACTTGGTATTGAAAGTTGTAAAAGTAAGAAAGCACTGTTTGGGAGCTAGAAAGTTCTGCTGTTGAGATTTGCTCTCCCATTTTATTTGTCTTCTCCTGACTGTTTCTTTGCTAAATGACTTCCTAAAAATAAGGTTGTTCATGCAAGCCAAACTATAGATTTGATTGAAACCAACTGTTTATGCCTGTCTGTACATGGGGTGGAGAAGGAAGAAAAAATACTGGCATAGCTTGAAATGGTAGCTACTAGATAGTTGCTGCGTTAGGTTTAGCAAAGTCTGCTTGGTCTGCCTTTTCTTCTAGCATGGCTCACTACTTATACTACACACAAATGCTAGATAGTTCTAAACACAAAAATGCTGAAAATTCAGTAGTTCACTGGTATTTGTGAGGATTTTGTGATCAGTTTACTACTATGCTGCTTTAGCTGTAGAAGTAGAGTTAAACAAGTCTTAATTATCACTAATTAACTCAGTGCAGAAGGTCATGTGTATCTTCTGTGTAGCAGTGTTAAGTATCCTACATCAGGGGTCTGCAAGTGCAGAATTCTTTGGAGAATGATAGTTGCTAGCCTGTAGACTAGAATTTCTCAAGAGAAATTAGTCTGAGAATAGCAGATGACTGAATCTTAGAGTTGTTCTGCATTAGTGGCATCAGTGATTTGAGCTGGAGCATGTTCAACTTTTTTTCCCAACTATTGTCTTGCTGTAGTAAGTAAATTTGAATCCTTGGGATTTCTTCAGTTTTCTAACTCAAAAAGCCATAATTTTTGTCCTTTTGTAGCGTAAGCTGTATTTGAGGGGTGACCCCTCCCCAGAAGTGTTCAAGGCCAGAATGGATGGGTCTTTGAGCAACTTCAGCTAGTAGATGGTGGTTGGAACTAGATGATCTTTAAGGTCCCTTCCAACCCAAACCACTCTATCATTTCTTAGAAAAATGTTGTGGAAATAATATTACTAATATCTTTCAGTTTATGATGTCACAAGAAGAGATACTTTTGTCAAGCTGGATAACTGGTTAAATGAACTGGAAACGTACTGCACAAGGAATGACATAGTGAAAATGCTAGTTGGAAACAAGATTGATAAGGTAAATGGAATTCAACTGCAGTAAGTAATCTGTTGGTGTATTTTGTTAATAATGCATATTAATGCTATGTCTTATTATAGGAAAACCGTGAAGTTGACAGAAATGAAGGTCTCAAATTTGCAAGAAAACATTCCATGTTGTTCATAGGTATGTTATAGATATTTGCAGGGATCTTGCTTGATTTTTAAGTAGTGAAAAATACCGATTCTGTAGGACTAATAGTCCTTACATGTACAATCCAATTACTGCTGTTTCTCAGCTGCAGTTGATACAACAATAATAGGTATTCCCATTTTTAAAGACGCCTGTCCTTAAATATATCCAGATTACTTGTCCACACTTAGAACAGTTTACTGAAATTTGTAAGGACTAAGAGTGGAATAGAGGCCCTGCTGTAGTCTGGCAAAGCCTGGTTTAGGTTTGGAGTTTTGTCAGGTTCCTTTTCCCAGCTGACTTGCTGAATTAATAACAGAAGCAAAATGAAAGAGAAAACGTTTACCTAGTGGCCACCTTTCACTACAGCAAAAGAGCTGGCACTTGACAGAAATCGGTATTAGAACTGTAATATAAAAACCAGGTAGGAATATAATTAGCATATAACTGGTGGATGAGATTGAATAATGACATAATCATGACTGGAGCAAATATGTTGGTCTGATCTTGCTGTAAAATGAGATGGGGCTTGTAGGCAAAGCCTTGTAATGATAATGTGGGTGGTTTAGTGATTCTTCATGCCCAAGTTTTATTATATTTCATTTAAGGATCAACAGACTTCTTTATAGGATGACTCTTGTAGCGAAGCAATTCATTGGCGTGTCCTGTACTTAAGACTTCTATTCCTCATCTCTGACTAATGGCGTATCTTTGTCTAGTACCTTGCTGTGTTATTTGGCTACAGTGTCAGATGTAGAATTAGAAGCTCAAAGTTGAGGCATAAGATGTTATGTGTGTGGAAGATGGAAAGAAATGTGAAAATTAAATATAACTAAAAATATATATCTGCATGCTATATATGCTGAGTACCTGCATGGCTGTGTAGAAGAACAGGGCAAACTGTAGTGGGACTGAACAGTTTCAGATGGTATCTGTTGCTCTCAGAGTATGCCCTGTAAGCAGATTTCTTTGGCTTAGCCAAAGTAAAGCTCCTGAGTGAAATTACCTAGGATTCTGCTAAATTCAGCAGAAATTAGATACCTTACTGCTTTTTATCAGATGAGTGTTATCATGGAGGCTGACCCACAGTCCTGCAGTATGGATCGTTGCATCTTGTGGTGTGGTGATACTGCAGTTCTGACTAATGTACAGAACTGAAATACAAAACAGCAGCTAGGTTTATCAGACATCTCAAGTTAGTAGAACCCTTCTTTTTTCTTTACTGAAGTGTTTTCCACAGCAAAACAAAGCTAAGCTATAGCTGTCTCCATATATTCTAGTGACATTCAATTTGGAAACTCTTCTGTTAGTCATTGGATGTGCAACAGAAATCTGCATATCTGCTAATTTTGGTACTGCTGTGTTGTTACAGAATATATTGTAGAAGCCTTAGGTGTGGGTTGTAGGTTGAGACTTAACTGAAAGAGAAATATTAAAGCTACTGGAAGTTGTGCTGACGCTTTGACTTTTTGCATCCCTTCTCCAGAGGCAAGTGCAAAAACATGCGATGGTGTACAGTGTGCCTTTGAAGAACTTGTTGAAAAAATCATTCAGACTCCTGGACTGTGGGAGAGCGAGAGCCAAAACAGAGGTGTAAAGTTATCAAGCAAGGAAGAAGGATATGGAGGAGGAGGAGCATGTGGTGGATATTGTTCTATGTTATAAACTTTGGGAAGCTTAATCTTTGCATATTTAAACAGATAGTGACATCTTTCTGTACATAAATTCATTAAATGCTATTTTTAGGGACCTTGCAGTTTGCACATATTTGTTTTGTATCATGGCAGTGAACACTTGTAGAAGAAATGTTCTGCAGCTTTCCCAGTTTGAAAATGTTATGGTAAGCATGCCAAGTTTGCAGTCTTCAGGTTTTTATAAGTAGCATAAATAATGTGCAAGAACAAATGCACTACAAAATTTTATGACTGTATACATTCATCATGTAACTACTCTAAACAAATCCATCTAACAAACACAACTTCATTGTCTGCTTTGTCTCATTTTTAAATACTCTTGAAATAATAGAATCATATAGTGTGAGTGTGCACAGATCTTGAAAACAATTTGAGCTCTAAGTGTTACATTTCATCTCTTCTAGTAAATCCTTTTTTTATGGTATTTAAACCAGCAAGATTATACAGTTAGACAAATCTGCTAAAGTTTAGTTCTGCTTTCAGCAGAACTGTCTAAAATACAAATTGGCACAGGCCGTAGTTGGTTTCAGCACCTTCTTGAAGAGATGCTTTGAAAGCTTCCTTTGCAAAGTTGGGGGGCACCCTTTTTTTTTTAATCATCACTTCAGTTGATGGTTTTACTGGAGTTTTAATCCTGTGATATTTATATACTAAATTTGTGGTACTCTTGCACTCTAGGTTTTTATGATGCAAGTCTACTCTAGACTTGCTGTAGAAAGTCTTCATTATTGGGAAGCAGTCTAAATGACTTCTCTGTTCTTTCATTGTGAATCAGTTTGCCACACTTCAGTGCAGATGCTAATTTTCCTAAATGTTTGTAATATAACTATCTCAAACTGTAGCTCACTGTGGCTGTGAAGTTCTCTATCACATCTGCTTTGTGCGGCTACTTGCTCAGAAATAAAAATTCCTGTCACAGGCACTAAATGGGAAGCTACAGGGCTTCTTGATCTCTGTATGGAAAAATACCATTGCAATGAGTATTCACTTGAATTTACTGTATCAAAGCCAATGGTTTGTTTCAGAAGACTTGTATAGACTAATAAACTTTTTCCACAGTATTCAACTTTTCTAACCTCTTCCTATTGTAGAGTTGTATATTTTCTGGCATGCACAGTTCAAATCAGGTCACCTACGAACAAATACTTTCTTATTTCTGAAGGACAAGACAAGGATGCTGTTTTGTGTTACTTTTTTTAAATCATAGTGCAATCAGTAACTGAACTTTTGGGCAGTTTCTTGTAAATATAGTGAATGACAGTACCTTTTACTACTGCAAGGTTTTGTGTAAATGTCAGCATACATGATCTGTAGTTTGCAGCAGGTCTTGGCTGCTTCTGTTAAAATACACTTTATTCTTCACAAGGGAACTTTGTTTTCTATTCTGTTTTACACTTGCTAGGAAACTATTGAAATTTGGAAACAATCTTGCCAGTTGTTTTTAACATATTGTATCTGTAGTATTGTTAATGCAGTAGGATAATTTAAATATGTAAGTGTAACTAATATAAAATATATATGCATGTTTTATGACAATGTTAGACTTGTATTACTGTTTCATACAGAATGTGGGCTGAGCAGATGTTAGCAATGAGGTCAAAGGATTTTGGATTATATTGCCTCTTGTCCTGTTGCAGGGCATAAGTGAAAACAGGTTGCCCCCTTCCTTCCTGACACCCAGCCCTCATATGTTTATACACATTAATTAGATTTCCCCCCCCCCCCCCCTTACTCTCTTCTCCTCCACCTACAAACACTTCCAGACTAAAAAGCGCCAGGTCTCTCAGCCTCTCCTCGTACAGCAGGTGTTCCAGTCCCCCAGTCATCCTCACAGCCCTTCACGGGACTCTCTCCAATAGATCTCTGTCCCTCTTGAAATGGGGAGCCCAGAACTGGACACAATACTCCAGGTGAGGTCTCACCAGGGCAGAGTAGAGGGGGAGCAGGACCTCACTTGTTCTGCTGCTACACTTTTCTTTATGCACCCCAGGATATTATTGGCCTTCCTGGCCACAAGGATTAAAGACCAAAGCAAAGAAGGCATTCAGCAACTCTGCCTTAATTATTTTAGTATTACTTCAGTAATATTGGGCAAGTATTATATTGCTGGCAAATGCTTGCAATTTATTTCCATACCTACTTTCTTCCTAGTCTGAGTGCATCCCTGTGTTGATAAGCAACTTAATTTTCAGTTTCTCACAAAAGGTCCTTTTATCACAGGTCCTGGATTCATCTTTCTTTGTCTTTGCCAGACAGCCATTGACAAGCCGTTGTCAAAGGGAGGAACTGCAGGGCACTCTGAATAGTGGGTATTGTTCTGCAAAAGAATCGAGTCATTTGGTCCTTTCCCTGCAAAATATCTCTGGGGAGAGGTGTATCCTGAAAGAGCATATTTAGTGAGACTGAGAGCTGTTAAAATGATTTTGATTTTTTATTTTAAAAAAACCCTGACACACAGTGAACTACAAAAAAAACCCAGAAAGTTAACTTTCTAATTAACTTGTAGCTAGCTTTTTTATCTTCATCTTTTAAGCATGTTTGATTAAGTCCCTTGGCCTTTCCTGGAGTTTCACCTTCTTTCCTCATTGCTCGGTCAAGAAGCTGTGTACTGAAGTGGTGGATTCCTGTGCTTCCACTATATTTTAGAGCAACTTTAGCAGCAGTTACTCCTTGCTACATTCTTTTTTTAATCCTTCCTCTTCTTTTAGCTTTTTTTTTTTTCTGGGAGGGGGGAAGGGGTGACTGTCATTTTCAAATAAGACTTCTCTTATTTTCAAAGCTGATTTTCCCCTTTGCAGGTCTGAATTGTATCACTTATCTCCGAGTGCACTTTCACTGTTGTAGCTGTAACACAAGCACACCTGAAGCTATTGCAACCTGCGCTGCAGCCTCTTGTGATGTAGGTCTGTGTCTTGGGAGTATTGCAGTCAGAGAAATATGCACAAGAGGTCTTTGTCTACCTCAGTAGGTAGCTGAAGGATAATGGAGATAGCTATTGTTTGCTCTTCATCCAGTAGTGTCCAATGGAATGTGTCCATTTTATAAGAAAATGCTAAACCAGAATGAGGTAAATGAGAAATCTTACATGACTGTGATAGTTAAAACTGAAGCATTTTCCAATTCATTTACTCTGTAGTCAGTAAATACTGACCAGCAGTTAAGTACTTGGGGCTGGCAGAGGTGTTCTGTAGTCTTTAAAACTACCCTGGAAGAATATGGGCCAGCAATTGCATTTTCTTGAACTTACACTTGCAAGTACTATGAAGTGTTGCCATGATTTTGTCTTGGATTTCTTCTGTTTTTTTTAAAAAGGGAGGTGAGACAGGCTTCTGGTGGAGATTTCAGAATGCCTTTTTTTTTTTTTATTTCTAGGGGCTTTTATGCAAACTACAGCATCCCTTCTCATGTTCTACTGCAATAAGGAGGTCAACAAGTGGGTCAGTCAGTCTTAACAAAATGAAAACAAGTTCAGTGAGTCCCCAAACAATACTGATGACTGTGTCATCAACCTTGGCAAAACTTCAGGGAATAGTGGTGTTCTTGCTGTCATCGTCTACCGTGGTGGTAACTGCTCTGTGTGCTTTGGTTTGTTAATTCCAGTGTTTGCCGGTAACCTGACAGAGTGAACTAAAATAATGTTTCTAATCTTGCCCCATAATTTAGTGTAATAATTCTATGTTTTGAGGCTGAACCAAATCTGTTTTTTTTTTTTTTTTCAAACACCTGCAAAACTTGAGCAGCTGATGTTGTGATCAGCACAAGTTACTGCTGTTCGGCTACTGGAGGATTGACACAAATATTCAAGATGTTACATCCAACCTGCATGTCCCATCTTGTTCAGAGCTCCTGTGTGGTTTTCAGTGTCTTGCTGTCCTTCATGAAGGTGTGTGTAAGGAACATTATGAGCGGGGCCTTTTCATGTTGCCAAACAAATCATTTCATGGTTTTCAGTGGTTGTTGAGCCTTCAAAGGCAAAATGTAAGGTGTTTTTCCTGGTCCTTTTCCAACAGCATTAGCTTTTGAGGAAAAAAAAAAGAGGAGCTCTCCATTAAAACTGTTCCAAGTTTTGTAAAATTTCCACATACCTTGCTCTTGAGTACCTTTGGCACCTTAATTAAAAATTGTTGAAGGATTATACAGGCAAAGAACTGTGAAGGTGTTTCCAAACTACTGAATGCTTACTTTCTGTGGCTAATACCAATGCAAGAGTAAGAAGTTTTATCCTTGTGCCTGAGTAACATCTGGTCCTTTCTGTTGGAGTTAAAACGATCACGATGATGAACTACTGAAGATTTTTTTTCATGCTACTCGTTTCTGTAGCATGTATGCACACTATACATACTCTGAGGCTCTTGTTCTTTAGTTTAGAAGCAAAGCAAAACTCAGAAGAAGCCTTAAAATATTACGTGTCAAATCATGATTAGAAGGAAACTTTTGTAGTGTTTTCTGTGTACAATCAGCTCTGGATTTAGTTGATTCTGGGAACAAGTCTGATTGGACCCTTTTAGTGGGAGTGCTTGGTTCCCAGTTTGTAATGCTTGTGAGGCTGGACTTTCTGATCTGAGAAGTGTGGCTATCAAGATGTTCATGACAGCATGTGGCTTTAACTGCATCCAGAGCTTCTCGTTGTTACTTAAGATCAGGAGCAAAGCTGTAAACTGGGGTTGAGAGAAGAGCAGTAGCAGCTGCCCAAACTGAAGGCAGTTTTATTAATATCTAATACAGTTGTCTAACACCTTGTATATACAAAATCTTATTATGATACACGATATAGTAAGTGTATTTAATACAATTGCCAAATATATTATACTTTATTAAATAAATAATATCTAAAGAATATATGTATTAATATTTTATATTGGTTAGAGATAATATATTATCTCTGAACTTTGGCTTCAGGCATAATAAATTATTTTAAATCACAGTAGGTATTACAAAGACATGAAGCTTGTGGGCAGGTGTCCTCCAGAAGAACGGAAGGATGCCTATGGAAGTAAGAGTTGGGCTTTATATACTGATAATGCCTGAGCTTGATATGAAATCAAAGCTGAAGTTTGAGATTAATTGGGTATTCAGGGTGCCAGAGGTCAGAGATAGCATCTGTCTAGATGTGATTTGACTTAGATTTTTCTCCTGAACACAGAATGGTGGAGGTTGGAAGGGGGCTCTGGAGGTCATTTGGTCCACCTCCCCTGCTCAAGAAGTGCTACTTAGAGCCAGGTGTGCAGGATCATGTCCAGATGGAATTTGAGTATCTCTAAAGAGGGAGACTCCCCAACCTCCCTGGGTGACCTGGGCCAGTACTCAGTCGCCTTCATGGTGCAAAAGCATTTCCAGATACTTGACTGGAATCTCCAGTGTTCCAGTTTGTGCCTGAGTCGAGGGCAAAGATCACTGCCCTCGACCTGCTGGCAATGCTTGTCCTCACACAGCCCAGGAGACTGTTGGCTGCCTTGTTTCAAGGGTACTTTGCTGACCTGTGTTCACTTGGCGTCTGCCAGGACCCTGAGGTCTTTTTCTGCAGAGCTGCTTTCCAACAGGGTGACCCCCAGCATCTGCTGATGTCTGGGGTTGTTCCTGCCCAGGGGCAGGACTTGGCACTTCTCCTTGTTGGACTTCATGAGGTTCCTGTTGTGTGCACATGAAAAGGGAGCATCAAATCGGTCTTTGGGTGGGCTTGAACCACCAGCTTTTCAGTTAATAACCAAAGACACTAACCCATTGCACCACAGAGGCTGATACACAGTGATTTTTCTGCAGAAGTGTTGGATTCCTTATCACTTTGGTAACTGCTGCTGATAGTGGCTGTACATGTACAGTGATAGACCAGTGCTGCTGGGATATAGCTGCAACAAAGCTGATGTGGTGTTGTGTCAGATGCTGTTAACCTCCTGTGGGGTGTGAAAGGTGATAATCTTTTGATTTGAAGAAGTAGCTATTCCTCAACACTACCTCCTTCAGGAGAGGAGGCAGGGCTGGTATGGCAGCACTGTTTCTCTAGCCAAAGCTACAGAAAGGCCCTGCAGTGTCCGTGTGCTCATGGGCATGGCTGTAAGAAGTC